TTCTGGAACTTTTACTTCACTTAAAAACTTACACAATATTTTTTTCTCCTTTCTAGATAAAGTATAAATAGTAGGCGGCAGATATGTTCGTGTTCCTTTCTTCATGGGTCCTAATTCAGTTCTTATTCCCATTTGTATCAAGTCATTTCTTGCTTTAAGGCCATCCTTAGACTTTCCTTGTATATTGAGTAACGTACCAATAACACTTTCAAATATATTTTTTTCAATATGCATAACATCAAGAAAATGTCTTACATGCAACGACTTCCAATACGACAATTAAAAAAAAAAGACCTCTTCTTCAACCCACCTTTGACAAGCGTATGTGCAAAAGGCTTGCCAAACTGGATACTCATATCTTTCACCTTTTCAAAAACTTGGTCACCTGTCAACATAGGTGGAGCTCTATAATGTTCTAGATTTCCATTGAATGCCTTTCTCCATCCACGGTAGTGATGATTAGAATTTAAGAATCTACGATGACCGAAAAATACATTCTTTTGACAAAATTCCAATCGCTTCCAATTTGTATGTTCTTCACAAATAAGACACGCTTTTTTACCTTTAATGCTATACCCTGATAGATTTCCGTATGCCGGAAAATCATTAATTGTGCCAAACAACATCGCCCTCAAATTGAAACTTTCTTTCCTATATCCATCATAAACCTCCACACCGTTCTCCCACAAAATCTTTAAATCTTCGATTAACGGTTTCAAGTAAACGTCTATGTCATTCCCTGGTTGTTTAGGTCCAGAAATTAACATAGATAACATCATGTACCTGCGCTTCATACATAGCCATGGAGGTAGGTTATAAATCATAATAATCACATGCCATGTGGTATGCGAGATACTTTGAAGACCATACGGATTCATTCCATCAGTAGATAATGCCAAGCGAAGGTTTCTTGCTTCTCCTCCAAAATCAGGATAATCATTATCAATTTTCGACCATTGTGGTGAATCTGTCAGATGTCGAAACTTTCCATCAATAATTCTTTCATCTGCATGCCAACTCAAGTGTCTTGCATCGGTTTCACTATGAAACATGCGTCTAAATCTCGAAATTATAGGAAAATACCATAAGACTTTTGTTGGAGACAATTTTTTCTTATATCGAGATAAACCGCATTTAGGGCACTCATTTAATGATGCATATTCGTTTCAAAACAAAATGCAATCATTTGGACAAGCATATATCTTATCATAGCTCATGCCAATAGAGCACAACATTTTTTTGGCCTCATATGTTCGATTAGAAAGAACATTATCCTCCGGAAGCATATCTCTCATAATGGCTAATAACTCTGTGAAACTTTTATCCGACCATCCATTGTTCGCCTTTAAGTTGTACAACTTTAATATCACAGACAATCTTGTGAATTTAGTGCAGTCTTTATACAACGGTTCCTCTGCATCACTTACCAACCGCTCAAACATTTTGGGACAATCCTGAAGATCTTCTTCAAGTGCTTCTGCAATCTCTTCGACTCGATCACAATCGTATGTATCTGTGTCATTGTCGTCTGAAGCATATGTCGTACTATCCCCTGATTCAACATTCTCGTAACTTTTCTCACCATGGAATATCCAACATGTGTAACTTCAATCAATTCCACGCCTCAATAAATGCGACTGCAACCCAACTGCGTTAACCCGACCCACAAAACAACAACTTAAGTAAGGAAATTTCATTCGATTGGCGTCTTCGGCGTGTTCAACAAAAAACTTAACAAATCTCAATACCCCATTCTCGTACTCTTTGGACAATCGATTGACAGACATCCATTTTTCATCCACGGTCTTACTATTAAGTAAGCTAAACAAAAACAATACTTAAAAAAAAGGACAGAGACTAAAAAGCTTAATACCAATTAGGCTTATTCATCGAAAATAAAAATACTATAATTATTCAAGCAACTATAGCAAATTAAAATAACAACTAAATACGTGTAGAGAAGTCAGCAACTTCTGAAACTACACAGTGTAATATTCTTGGAAACGCTCAAAAACTCCACTCTTCACAAGTAATCTATATAAATAATCAATTAATGTCATTATAATAAAAAATCTATATAATAAGAATTATTAGAATATTTATACAACATTAAACATATATGTATACACCATTAAATAATCACTAATATTCTTTTTAACATATATTTTACTGTTTTAATTTTAAAATTTTAAAATATGAAGGTAAAATATTAATAAAAAAATTTTGTTTAATAAAGATCTATTTTAATATTCCACATTGAAAATATAAATCAATCAAACAATTCAGGTGACTCTATATTAATCAAATGACTCATAAAGTGTAACTTTCATTTTTCCCCCTTCAAATTATATTCTAACTTCAAATCTAGATCTTCAAATTTTAATCCAATAATCATAATTTGTTTAACTATCTTAATTTATGTGTTAGTATGACTCTTACATTAGAGAATCCAAGTTTCTATAATTCTATTGACCCATAAATACTTTATGTAACATGTCTCTTTTCTCTAGAACTTTTATCACTATATAAACTATTTCTTTATCAATTTCTAATCATCAATTTTAATAAAACATTTCATCCTTGTGTCTCGTCCGTGACTCTTGTCTAAAAAACAACTTTTCATAATTATAATCGCAATGGTAATGTATACACATTTCAATTACAATGTTTTTTTCTCTCATTCAATACATGCAATATTCATTGTGATATTTACGCAAACACCTTACATGCAAAACTAATTGTGACATTTTCACAAACACCTTACATGCAAAAACCACATGTCACACAAAATACACCATAATGCAACATTATCAACACTAAATCAACACTAAAACAACACTGTCAACACTATCAACTAAACCAAATGCAACATTATATATCAACATTATCAAATATATCAAAAATCATACCTAGAAGAGAAGAGAATCTTGGTTGTGAATGGAAGAAAGGATGAAACGGTCTTGAATGGAAGAAGGATGAGAACCTTGAAGAAAGGATGCAACGATTTTGTCAAGAATCAAACAAAAAATCGCGTCAAAATGGGTTTTGTTCGTAACTGTACTGTGTTGTGAAAATGAGTTTTGCAAAATAATAACGTTACTGTGTTTTATGCTGGACGCGTGTTTTATTTTTTTTATAACATGACTTTAGGCATCACTTGTAGTAGAAAACGCTGCTTAATCCCCCCTTTAGGCAGGGCTTTAGCAAAGCACTTTGTAAGCCCACCCTTTAGGCAGCGCTTTAGCAAAACACTTTGTAAGCCCACCCTTTAGGCAACGCTTCTCCAAAGCGCTACAGTACCTACCCCTTTAGCAACGCTTTATAAATTCACATTAACCCCTTTTAGGCAGCGCTTTCACAAAGCGCGGCTTAAACCCACCCTTTAGGCAGCGCTTCAGGACCTACCCCCTTTAGCAACACTTTATTAAACAATATTCACTCCCTTAGACAACGTTTTTTTAAAAAGCGCTGTCTAAAGTATAGGACAAAATTTTCGTGTTTTTAAAATGCATTTTTAGCAGCGCTTTTGATAAGAAACGCTGTCTTAGGTGTGCTGTCTAATCTTATTTTTAGGATAGTGTCTGCATGCACAAGCTCGCTTAAAATTGGTGAAGAAATTGCTTTCACATTAGAAGATTCATAATACTTTTGTCTACAAAAAATCTTCCATAATCAATACTACCTTCAATTTGTATTATAATTTAAATTAATGCTTCTATGTATATTGTCTAAGATTTTTGTTGATTGAATAGTTGAATCACATAAAAGTTAGTGGTGGAATAATGAGTTAGAGTAATTAATATTAAATATTAATTAATATATTAAATAATATTTGTTAGAAAGAGAAAAGAAAATAATATAATTAAAAATTATTTAGATGAAATTTTACTTAAAATTTAACACCTAATTATCTATTCTATTTCAATAGATTAAGGATTTAACATTAATCTAATGATGATATTTTAATTTTTTTTGTCAATTCTGTAAATAAATATGCGTGTGAAACGAATACTCATGTCTAAAATTTTTAATTAAGTTGAAAAAGATATCATCATCTTATTCAAATGTTGTTGGATTTCTTTAATATGAGTAGCTAAATTTCTTATATTGAATTATCGTTTGATTTATGCTATTAAAATTTATTTTGATTTAGCTATCAGTTTATGTTCTTAATGCTCTTTAATTTCATTATAAATTGACGTGTCAATTACAATTTTTTTACTTATACTATGTGATACTTTCTTTTCAACACTATATGTCCCACTATGATATTTAGTATCTGAAAATAAAGTGTAACACATGGCAACAACTGAACATTTATTCCTAACGATTTATATAAATAATAAAACTTAGATATAATTTTTTATGTATGATTTTTATTATTTTCCAATAAGAATATAATAAATATATAATATTTTTAAAATATATTTATTATATTTTAATTAAAAAAATAGTAAAAATCAAATTTAAAGAATTGTGCGTTTTGTCCATATTTAAATTTGAAACTCTAGGAGTGGTTTAGAGTAAAAGAAACAATTAGGATAAAACAAAAGAAAATAAAACACAAGTTAAAAATTTGCAATTCAGTTGATGTGGTTTACATTAATTAGGTCCGACAAAGACAGTTAAGTCGGCAACCCTTAAATCCGGCAAAAACAATCCCTTACGTCGGTAACCCTTAATCAGTAAGTAACAATCACGCGCTCTCTTCCGCGAGTCGTCTTTTTCTTCACAATAAACCAATTACTCTTATATTTAATTTCATTCTGAATTTACTTTCCAAAAGGAACAAAGAAAGAACACACACAGATCCATCGTCAACGCCATTTCAAAAGCCACAATAATCAAACACGGTAAACACCATTTCACAATTATCTCTTATTGTACATTAATCTATTATTGTTATTATTATTTTTAATTTTGTTGAGATCGATTTTGAATAATTTGCAGGGTGTAATTTGATGGGAATTTGTGTGTTACTGAATTTGGATTGATGTGCAATGCAGAGATCACGTAAAGCTCTTCTTTCAAGAAGAGCTTCTGTTGTTCATAACCCTGTTCAAAGTTGTTCCTCTCGGATAACTAACACTTTTTGTCAAGTTTCTTTGGTTTTTGTTTTGTGGGGGTTACTTATTCTTTTCAGCTTATGGGTCAGTTACACAGGTAATACTTTGGTTTTGTTTTCTTCTCTTCTGTTTTGTTTTCATATTGTATTTATTAAATTTTCTCAAATTTTGGATCATGTGTGGCAGTCTGACTTGCACGCTCTCAAAGACCGTCATGTTAGAGTCTATTGATTCAGATCAGCCATTTTTTATATTGACGCACCAAGCCCAACCGTGTTGAGTTGAGTGTGAGAGGGTGAATTGAGAAAAATACAAGTCCTACATAGATAAGGCCATTAGCCAGTTTACAAAGAGTGACTGTAGGACAGAGCCTGTGGTTAATTTGTTTGGGGAGGTGGAGTTTGTTGCTAGCCACCAAAAGGGATTGAATCATGGACCTCCTATATACTTACTACTCCTGTAATGTTTCAATCGAGACCATTGGACTACTCCTTTGGGATGTAGGGCAGACACTTGATGTGGACATGTGGACATCTCTTCTGATGTATGTTTAGATTGTGGTTTGCTACATTGAGGGACTAGTTCCAAGTACCAAACTATTTTTTTCTATCGATAAATTAAAGTTGTTTTGATGAATTTGGATGGATCACTTGCTCCTTTGTAATAGTGAACAAGTAAAGATCCCGTGCTAGATTGCATATGGCTGTGAGGGAAAAGGTAGGAAAGAAAAATAGTGAGATTTTTCCGCGTGTCATTTGGTGAAGACTTTTCTTAGGATAGATAGACTTGTATGCGAAGTTAAGACTCTATACATCTTCTCCTGTGCAGTTAAGACTATACATCAAAGCTCCCCAGACTCCACCTGGTGAGAACTTCGTGCATTGTGCCCAGTGTTGTAAAATAGCTGTTGTTGCAGCACTGAAGTGCTATAGCGTAATGGAATTTGAACCAATCATGACTGCATCACAATACTTTATTTAGGATAAAGCGTTATAAGAAAAGTACAGTTATCAAATACCAGTAGCAGCTATAGCGCTGTAGCGTAGTGTAATTTCAACAAAGTGCTATTTTCCGCAATCTGTAATTGTCAACACTGATTGTGCCTCCCATTTTAGATAGACTCAAATAAGATTTTGCTTTTATAAAGTGATAACAAATTTTTTTTTTTTTTTTAAATTTTGTTGCAGACATATGTCTTATAGTCTTATTGACCTGTTTATTATTTTTGTATGTAGATGGTTCTGAAGAGATTTCAGATGGAGTATCAAATTGGAAACAAGTTAACCATGGATTTTGTGAAATCTCTGATACTGCTGATAAATATTTTATTAAAAGAAATGATGCTTGCATTGCGTCGGAGACTTTATTATACTCTCAAGGTGGAGGTACTAAGGCTAATGGTTTAGCTGATGAGTCACTCACGTTATACTATGCAGTAACCAGTGCTTTTAAAAAAGAAACTACTGATTCTGCCAATAGAGAGGAGCATGTAGTTGAGAGTTCCGAATCTACTGTCAAACTTGAAAATGATGTAAAAAAAACTGATCTCTTAACTCGGGCTGTGCCTCTTGGTCTTGATGAATTCAAGAGCAGGGCGATCAGTTCTAAAGTTAAGTCAGGCACTGGTCAATCTGGAAGTGTAATACATAGATTGGAGCCTGGTGGTGCAGAATATAATTATGCTTCGGCATCAAAGGGAGCTAAAGTTTTAGGTTCTAATAAAGAAGGAAAAGGTGCCTCTAATATCTTAAGCAGGGACAAAGACAAGTATCTTCGAAATCCATGTTCTGTGGAGGAGAAATTTGTCATTATAGAACTTTCAGAAGAAACCTTAGTAGATACCGTAGAAATAGCTAATTTTGAGCACCACTCTTCCAATCTGAAAGACTTTGAAATCCATGGAAGTCTAAACTTTCCAACAGATGTTTGGGTTTTCCTTGGGAATTTTACTGCCTCAAATGTGAGGCATGCTCAAAGATTTGTTCTTAAAGAGCCAAAATGGGTGAGATACCTAAAGTTGCATCTTCAAAGCCACTATGGTTCAGAGTTTTATTGCACACTAAGTGTTGTTGAAGTTTTTGGTGTGGATGCCGTTGAGAGGATGTTGGAGGATTTAATAAATACTCAAGATAATTTATTTGCATCTGGAGAAGGTAATGATGACAAGAAGACAGTATCATCCCATCCCGATCCTGCTGAGAGTGAACATGTTCATCAAACTACTATTGAAGGGACCAATTCAGACCCTGCTTCGGATATCTCTTCTGCCAATCATGAGACGGCAAACAGTAATGTTCCTGATCCAGTTGAAGAAACCCGTCAACAAGTTGGCAGAATGCCTGGGGATACTGTTCTCAAGATTCTAATGCAGAAAGTCCGTTCTTTAGACTTAAATTTATTTGTTTTGGAGCGGTATATGGAAGATTTAAACTCTAGATATGTCAATATTTTCAAAGAGTACGGCAAAGACATTGGAGAAAAAGATATACTTCTACAGAAGATCAAAGAAGACATTGGGAACCTCATTGTCCAGCAGGATGCTATAGTATGTTAATTCTATCATGGATATTATTGGCAATATTTGTACTTGCTTAAATAAAATTCATTACTTTACTACTTCCTATTCATTTTGGAAATGGCTTGTTGCTCATGCAGGCAAAAGATGCAAGTGATCTCAATTCTTGGAAGTCTCGAGTTTCTTCGCAGTTGGATCATCTACTTCAGGACAATGCTGTTTTGAGGTAAAATTACATTACAAGTTTTTCATAACTTCTCACCATATGAACTGAGTAGCTAATTCATGTGTAGTAACTAGTATAAACTGCAAAGGTATTTGAAACAGTATGAGTAATATCTCCGATGGCTAGACCAGACTAGTCAGTCTGACAAAAAAACTAGTGAATTATTGACAAAGGCTAAGAATTTGAATAAACCTGACACCTAAGTGCGGCATTTCGATTTCCTTCATTGCAACTTTTAGCAAGTTGGTTGTTTTGGGTGTGAGGTGATGAATTTATTCCCATATTGTCTAGAGATATGGCCTAAAGAGTGCGTATAAAACTTGGACAGTCCTCACCTAAACCTTACTAACAGGTTTTGTATTTGTATGATTGAGTTAGATCATAATTCAAATTTAAAAGGGTATCAGTGTGTGTTTAGATCTGTTGTTAGGCTTCCACTCATCAAGACCATTGGGCTTGGGCGTGAGCATTGTTATTAAATGGCAATCATGGCAGAATGGCATGGTGAATTTTTCGACAACCTCCATAGCCAATTTGTAAAGGAATGATTGCCATGGCGGCGCCATAGGCTGCAGTGGCTTGTTTATAGGGAGGATTTTTGGTCTTCTCCACATTCTACCATCCTCCATTGACAACATTGTGCTTGAGGGGTGTGTTGGAAGTTCTTCCATAATTGTTGTTGAATTAAGAGAGATTAAGAGACATTTAGGTTAAACCGTGTGTTGAATAGCACAGTGGAAAAAGATGTATATATAGAGAGAATTACATATCAACAATATTAATTGCATACTAAAAATATACTGATCCTATCCTAGAATATACTAGGGAATATTCTAGGAATATTCTTATTTTATATACAAATATCAACACTCTCCCTCAAGCTTGAGCATATAAATCAAATGCACCAAACTTGTTACATATATAGTTGGTTCTGGGACTTTGTAGAGATTTTGTAAACACATCGGTCAATTGGTCATTAGAGTTGACAAAATTTGTGGAGATGTCGCCTGATTCAATCTTCTATATGACAAAGTGACAGTCTATCTCAATATGTTTGGTCCTCTCGTGGAAGACCGGATTTGAAGTAATATGCAATGCGGCTTGATTATCACAAATAAGTGTCATTGGTTTTGCATCTTCAATTCGAAGTTCCTTGAGCAAATGTTTTAACCAAATAAGTTCACAAGTTGCCATTGCCATGTCACTATATTCTGCCTCAGCGCTTGATCTGGCAACAACATTTTGTTTCTTACTTTTTCAAGATATGAGATTTCCTCCAACAAGGACACAATACTCCGAGGTGGGTCTTCTATCAATGGGTGATCCTGCCCAACCAGCATCGGAGTATCCAACTATCTGAGTATGTCCTTTGTTTTCATACACAAGACCTTTTCCTGGAGCACATTTGTTGTATCTTAGAATCCGGATAACAACATCCATGTGTTCCTGACAAGGGAAATTTAAGAACTGACTTACCACACTAACTGCAAAAGAAATGTCAGGACGAGTGACTGTGAGATAATTCAACTTTCCAACTAATCTCCTGTATCTTCCTTGGTCAGATAGAGGCTCCTCCTGATTAGGTAGTAGTTTGACACTTGGATCCATAGGAGTATCAGCTAGTTTTGCATTTAACAACCCTATTTCTTCCAAAATATCCATAGCATATTTCCGCTGGGAAGTCACCAAACCATCTTTGGATCGGGCCACCTCAATTTCCAAGAAGTAGCGGAGTTTACCAAGATCTTTTGTTTGAAATTGACTCGAGAGATGTTGTTTTAACTGGAGTATTCCTTGTTGATCACTACCAGTTATGACAATATCATCTACATACACAATAAGATAGATACATCCTTGAACTGAGTGACGATATAATACAGAATGGTCAGCTTCACTACGAACCATATCAAATTGTTTACTACAGTGCTGAATCTACCAAACCAAGCTCTCAGAGATTGCTTAAGACCATAAAGAGACTTGTGTAGCCTACAGACCATATTCGAGGACTCTCTCTGAGCAACAAACCCAGGTGGTGGCTCCATATATACTTCCTCTTCAAGATCATCATGTAAAAAGGCATTTTGATGTCAAGTTGATGAAGATGCCAATGTCTAATGGCTGCGATGGCTAGAAGGAGTCTAACAGATGCCATCTTGGCTACAGGCGAGAAGGTGTCATTATAATCCAACCCAAAAATCTGAGTGTATCCTTTGGCTACCAAGCGAGCTTTAAAACGATCAATCTTACCATTTGGTCTAACCTTTACTGTATAAAGTCAACGACAACCTACTCAAGATTTCTCAAGGGGTAGAGGAACCAGTTCCCAGGTACCACTGCTTTGAAGAGCACACATTTCATCAATCATTGCTTGCCTCCATTCGGGGTGAGATAATGCTTCACTTGGAGATTTAGGAATAGAAACAGAAGACAAAGAGGAGAAACAAGTATACTGCAAAGGAGAAAGACAACGATAACATAAACTAATATAATGTGGAGAAGGATTTCGTGTTTGACGTATACCTTTGCGAAGGGCAATCACAAGATCAGACTCAGGTTGTAGGATCGGATCCGATGATGGCGAAGCCGTTAGAGGAGAATCTGCAATGACCTCAGGGACAGGTACTGCCTTAGGGATACGTGCGATAGATGTGGGTTGGCGACACTGATATGTTTGAAGTGGGCGAGAAGTGGGGGATCAATCGTATGGGTTTCTAGTGGGACAGGTTCCCTAGAATGATGGGGGATAATGGAAAATGGGACTTCTGAAAGAGGTGTAGAAGTACTTTCCTGAAGGGGTTCTGGAGTGACTTGGGTGGACTTAAAATATGGCACTGACTCAAAGAAGGTATCATCGACCGAGATCAGGTATCGTTGCAGAGTGTGTGAGTAGCAACGATAACCCTTTTGGGATCGATGATAACTAAGACACATTTTAGTGATTGAGCTGATAGTTTATCAAGATCAGGGGAGAGATTATACACAAAACACGTAGACCCGAAGACTCGAGGAAGAATTGGGTGAAGAGGAGGGTTTGGAAACATGATTGAATGAGGGATTTTATTATTAAGGGCAGATAAGGGCATGCGATTTATGAGGTAACATGCCGTGAGCACAACATCCCCCCCAAAACCGAAGAGGGACATTACCATGGAGAAGTAAGGTTCGAGTGGTTTCTATGAGATGCCTATTTTTGCATTCGGCTACTCCGTTTTGTTGAGGTGTATGAGGGCAAGATGTTTGGTGCATAATACCATTGGATGACATAAAAGTTTGAAATTGTTGGGATAAATATTCACATGTATTGTCACTTCTTAAGGTACAAATGGACAAATAAAATTGGGTTTTTATTTCTCGATAAAATTGTTCAAAAATAGAAAACAATTCAGATCTTTTCTTCATTAAAAATAGTCATGTGCAACGTGAAAAATCATCAATAAACGTTACAAAACATCTAGACTCAAAAGTAGACACAGTACGCGATGAATCCCAAACATCAAAGTGAACTAAAGCAAAAAGGGATAATTTAGATAATCTGTGCACCAACTTTTGTAGTTTGGGAAGACCTGGATGACCTAACTGCGCATGTATAATGAGTGAAGAATATGTGGTGGAGCATGTGGTAGATGACGTAGAGAAGTAGTAGAGGCCTTGAGACTCACATCCGACGCCAATCGTCTGTCCCGAACTCCGATCCTGCAGGATAACATTACTGTTAGTAAAAGTGATAGAACAATTAAGGGAACGAGTTAAACGACTGACTGACAGTAGATTAAATGGGCAATTAGGTACATATAAGACATATGTAACCAAGAGAGATGGTAGAATTCGGACGGTACCAATTCCTTGGGATCGGATTTGAGAACTATTTGCGGCAGTTATACTCGCTAAGAAACCAAAGGTAGAAAGGGAAGAGAAAATATTTTTATTATCGGTAACATGATTAGATGCACCAGAATCGAGGACCCAAGGACCAAGAGGAGATGATTGAGAGACGCAAACAGATGAATTACCAGTGTGTGCAATCGAAGCCGTGGAACCAGAGATCTGGTTAGTCTGACACCACCTGAGAAAATCCTCATAGCTTGGCGTAGGGTTCTGAAGAGAAGGTGAAGTCTGCATAGTGTCTTGGTTATCAATTTGAGCTGCATTTACCTGCCGTGGAGGTTTGCCTTGCAATTTCCAGCAACGATCGATAGTATGCTCAAGTCGGTTACAATGGTCACACTTAGGACGAGGTTTGGAGTTGGATGATCCTCCTCGAAGGTGATTTTGATTGTTGCCAAGAGATGCCAGAGCAGCAATGTCACCTGGTGTTGGAGCAACAATAAATTGAGGGGAAACCGGGCCAAACACATGAGGTGTAGCGAAGCGCAACAATTGTTCACTAACTGTATCATAGTTAGGAACAGTGATACCTGATAAAATTTGGTTACGAACGGATTCGAGTTCTGATGGTAGTCTTTTAAGTGTCATGACCATGAAATATTTACCCTGTTGTTCGGCATGAGCTGTTGCATCTTTTGCGTAAGGCATGAGTGTTACGTAACTTGCTTTCAAGACATCAAGCTTACTTAGATAAGCTTGCACATCCATATTTTCCAACTTCAGTGTGTTGAGTTTATGGATGACACTGTATAGAGAATGAACGTCGTTGGAAAAGACTTTCTTGGCCTTTTCCCACACTTCATAACAAGTGGAGAACGCTTGGTACTGGGCTTGGTGGTTAGGTGCTATAGAAAATCACAACACAGTACACGCAAAGGTATCAGTTTTCTTCCATTTAGCAAGTTTGGCTGCTCCAACGTCAGTCAATTTGGTGGTTAGATGCTCCTCATATCCCTGACCGCGAAACCACATATCGACAGCACGAGCCCATATGTTTAGTTGGCTGATCCAGTTAATTTTTCACATGGGATAAGCGGAACTTTAGTAAACGAGACAGAATCAGCATCTCTCATGGCTTAAAGACACAACAAACAGGGCTGTTTGAACTAGAGTACGACTTTCTGTGAGTCGAAAACGGAAATCGAGGACGGATCTGGAACCGAAGGAGGGAGGCGATTTTCTGGTAAAAAAATATTTTTTTTCGTGAAGGCGATGAACAGCGGCGGCGGCGATGAATAGTGGCGGCGGCAGCGAGCATGGTGCCCCGAAAAAAAATCTTTTTCTCATGAACAGTGTGGCGGCGGAGGTTGCTGGAAAAAAAAGGTTAGGCAAATCAGAATGATGATACGGTTTGCAGAAGAAAATTTCTCACCGGAAGACAGTGGGTCAACCGGGTAGCGTACGGTGAAGATTTGTCTCTTAATAGGCTCTCGATACCATGTTGAATTAGGAGAGACTAAGAGACATTTAGGTTAAACCGTGTATTGAATAACACAATGAAAAAAGATATATATAGAGAGAATTACATATCAACAATATTAATTACATACTAAAAATATGCTGATCTTATCTTAGAATATACTAGAGAATATTCTTATTCTATATACAAATATCCACAATTGTTCTTGGTATGAGAGAATGGATTAAGTCCTATATTGCCTTGAAATATGGCCTCAGTAGTGCTTATAAAGTTGTTAGTGTCCTTGTCTTACAAGTTGGTTTTGTAGGGTTGAGTTAGACCTGATCTAAATTTTAAGAATTGGCATCTGCTGGGTTTGATGATGAGCCTCTGTTCAACTTTAAGGATGGAAAATAGTTATTTTTAATTACGACCTGATGCATGGTTCCATAAGTTAAGGAAACTAAAATTTAAAAAGTTTATGTAAATCCTAAATAAAATGGAGTAAAATTAGAAACTGTGATTCAAACACAAAGTTTAGAACTTTTTATCAATGTTCTACAATGTAAAACAAAACTTCAAAAGCATATGGCTTGATGCTTATATATTAATTTTATGACTTCTATTTTGGCCTTCAATGTATTGTACTTCTGTTTATATGTTATCATCTGTTATTATTATATACATGCTCTATAGTAGTTGTTTAAATATTCATGTTTTTAAATTTCTTTAATATATATATTTTGTCAAGTATTTTTTACAATATTATATGAACAAATTTACAGTTCAACCACAATTTGACGTAAAATCAGCTCTATTTTCATTTTAAATTCAATGACTAGTTCAGGTTTTCTACTGATTCCTCTTGTTTTATTTTATGGTTGCCCACTCTTCTTGAAAACCCTAACTCCCATTCTATCTCCAAATCTATGAATCAAATCCGCGATGAACAATTCTCAAGATGCAGGTTTGCTGAAGTTTTTCTGCCAGAGAAATCTGTTGCATCTCAAAGATTTTCTATGCTTTTGTGATCATTGATCGGGTCAACTCCTTCAAAGATGGATAATTCAACTTTTTGGTCCTCCATCATCAGTCTCAGTGCAGCTCTTCTTTGGTCCACCGCCATTCTGGTTTTTCTGCATTGAGAGTGTGAGGTTTTGCTCCGAGGCACGTTCTTCGTTGTCATCCTCCCAATCGATCCACTGTTTCTGCATCCACTTCAGCTAACTACTGTCTTTACTCATTCAATTACAGTACCTATGTAGATCTTCAAGAGCTTGTTCACAGAAGTAAAAAGTGTTCTCTAGGATTGATAATACACTTAAGAAAGCTGATATTATTTACTGTTTCTGTGTTGTTATTTGAATGTCTTTTTTATCACTAGGCCTTGTTAAGAAATAGAAAACAAAACTATTATTCCTTAACAGACAATGCCTTCAATGATTTAGTTCTTTGGAATCTTACAAATGTTTCTTAATATTTCAGGTTCGAAGTCGAAAAGGTCCGGGAGAATCAGGTCTCTTTGGAAAACAAGGGTGTAATTGTGTTTTTATTATGTTGCATTTTTTCATTGATTGCTGTGTTATTGTTGTGTTTGGATTTGGCTAAGAATATCTATAGAGCACTATGTGTTGATAAAACAGCTGACTCCAGGAATTTTTGTGTGGGCTCTTCCTGGTTTCTTCTATTATTTAGTTGTATCATTATCATTTTCATATTAATTTTATAATAGTCCATTTTTGAGATATGTTTTTATCTTGTGTCAGATGCTCAGTGATGAAGTTGCTTCTTTTAATAATGATACAGAAACTTCCTTTTAATTTTAATTTATAGTGGATGTAATTTTGATTTCAAGTTATGATGGAGTTGCTTGTTTATGATGAAGTAGACTTCAAAACCTTCATGCCACATAGAAGCCACAACTCAGAACAATTTCTGTCATACAATTCCACATCCATATTAGGAATTTCCCAAGCAGATGTCTTCTTTCATTTAACACGGTTGCTTCCATCTTTATCAAAGATGTTCTTAAAGTTGCAGGGTAAACTACTTCCTTCTTAAGCAATAAAAGAATTTAATTAAATTTGTTTTGGAAGTTTTATAAAAGATGAATAGAAAAAAAGATTAATTTTAAACTTTTTGAGAGACAATATTTGTATTAGATAAAAGAATATATTTTTAAAAAATAAATAAAACTTTAGGTTTATTGAATAACTTAGTCATTACAGGAGAATGGATGGCAGGCATGAAACAAATAGATGACAAAACCAATCATTTTATAGACTATATCTATAGGTTTGGGAGATATTATATTGTTATGCACGATATCTGAATTTAACACCTAGGCGCCATCTCACTTGGCTTAGGGCATGCCCTAAGCACATAGGCGTCAAGTGAGATGGTGCCTCCCCTTAAAAATTGGGTGCATGCGTCAATTCAGATGGCTCCTCCTTTGGGGAGTCATCTGAAACATGGTTATTTGCGTAATTTTTTCCGAAACGCGGTTATTTGCGATTTTTTTTTAATACATGGTTATTAATAAAAAAAATTCGAATATGTGGGGTGTACCTTAGAAATAGTTCATCATATTGTTTTCAATTGTTTGAATTGTTTGCTTTATATTTGTGGGCCTTGTATCGGAGTTACTATAGATCCTAACTCGGATCTGGGGGGACACCTTTTAGGTAAGTAGCAATAGACTGTGAGGGAACTGTACGGCGTAGACCGATACGGTTGAAGCAGTAGCTACGTTGGTGTGACACATTAGTTGGTACCGATATCCCTTGTGGAGGAACAAAGAGAGTATGGGGCTGCTAATGGGTTATTAAGCATTAACTGACCTTAGAACCTATAATTGACCAACTTGGCCATAGAAAAGTAGCAGTATGCTACACTCATTGAGACCATACTCTCGCGATGATTCCGGCCGCAAGAAAAGGTTGCTAAACTAGAATTATGACTGATCGAGGATGGTCGGTGATATTGAGAACCTCTAGAACCTGGTTACTATTACTAGGACAGGTTGAACCAACTAAACTGAAAGAGGGTAATACCTAGACCCCATACAAGCCTAAACTTAAGCCTGTTTGTGTGACTTGTGTGCTTTCAAACTTGAACTACTTGCACATTTTTGTTATCTGACAACATGAGTTCCTTGCAGGTTTTGTTTACAGTCCTTATCCAATAACTTGGACTTCTTGTCGGATTTACTTACTTACATCACCTCGCATTTGCTTAAACGCATAACATACACATCATAACATCATGCCTTAACATTTCCTTAACCATTTCAAGGATCTCAAAGGTTTGTGATGCAGGTTATGGTAAGTCAAACGTCTAGCAAGGGGCAAATGAGATTTATTTTCCTCTAGCCAATGTCATCTAGAGAATCAAAACACGATAATTTGAGTCGGTGGCTATGACCCACTCGATATGATGAGCTTGACTCTTGAAGAAGGACTCTCAACAAACGCGAAGTTTCTTCAATCAAATTTTAACAGTTTCTTGTTTACCCTGCGAGATCCTTGAAAACATTGCATACATATATCATACATATCATTGCATTACAGGTACCATTACAGGTTTCTCATCTTCTTCGCTGTTTATTTCAGCAATCTTGTTTTCTGAAACACCTACTGATCAAGCCATCAAGGCTCTTCAAGCTCAGAATGCTCAATTTCAGGAAATGTTCTTGAAGTTGGCCAAGAGTCAACAAGATTTGAAGACTCTTATCTTGAAGGACAAGAAGAAGAAGAAGAAGAAGGTGGTCCTCTTGAATATGGGTCGTAGATTCGGGAACAATTTGCGACAGGAGACTGATTTGTCCCATTCATCTGGAGGGGGAGAGAATCAAGAGGAAAGAAAGGGTCCTAGCCCTGTGGTTTCTGACAATGACACAGACTTTGATGAAGACCAGTATCCTCCTGCTGAAGATAGATATAAGCAACTTGAAGACCGGCTCAGTGCAATGGAAATTCAGAAGATACCTGGGTTGGACTGGGGAGATCTGGGATTGGCATCTGGGGTGGTGATCCCTCACAAGTTTAAAGCTCATGTCTTTGCTCAGTGGGACGGGGTATCCTTCCCGAAACTACACCTCCACTCATACGTCAGAAAAATTCAACCCTATACTGTTGATAAAAATCTCTAGGTTCATTTCTTTCAAGATAGTCTATCAGGGACTCAACTTGAATGGTTCTGTCAACTGGAAGGAGCTAACATCCGCAACTGGGAGAACCTTGTTGCTGCTTTTTACAAGCAATACCAGTATAATGTCGACCTTGCTCTCACGCATACTCAGCTTCAGGGTATGTATATGGGTACAAGCGAAGGCTTTAAGGACTACGCTCAGAAGTGGAGAGATCTTGCTGGAAGAGTCCAACCCCCTCTGTCTGATAGGGAGTTGGTGGATATGTTTCTTGCGACTTTGTCTGGTCTTTATTTCAATCATTTGATCGGCAACTCGTCAGTGGGTTTCACCGAACTGATTCTGACTGGAGAAAGAGTAGAAGCTGGGATCCTGAGTGGTAAGATCCAGAAAGATACCTCTTCGAGTACAGAGAAGAAGTCATTTAGTGGCAAGAGGGAAGCCAATGTTGTGCACGGCCAGAAGAGGCGTAGCCAGGCAGACTACCACCAATCTGTGGGGACAGTGTTGATCTCTAATTCGGCACGCACACAACGACCACAACAACGAAATAATCAGCCAAAGGGGGAAAGACTTCAAAGGCAGTTCACCCAAATCAACATGCCATTGTCACAAGCATTACAACACATGTTGAAGATGAATCTGATTACGGTGATAAACCCTCATCTGAACCCTAAGACTTCTTCTCTTAACTACAACCCAGATGCAAGGTGTGCTTATCATTCCGGTAGCCCGGGGCACGATACTAACGATTGTTGGACGCTGAAATACAAGATTCAGAATATGATTGACGCTAAGGAGATCGAATTCGACCCTCCTGAGACTCCCAATGTGATCACTGCTCCCTTGCCAAAATATGGCTAGGATTAAAAGCACTTTTGTTCATTTGAATTCTTAAGTTGTATTTTTCTTTGCTTATTCAAACAATTATTGTCATGTCATACTTTTTTATTTCATTAATGCATTACACGTGTCTGTTTTGAATTAATTATTTTCACTATGCTTAAATTTCTTCATATTTCCTTTTTGTGATGTTCAACTTTCGATTAAAAAACTCTAAGCCTTTAGAGGGAGGATGACGAAAATGATACCACAATCTCTACAATATACTTTTGAACAGACCCCGCTGACGATGTACAAGCGTTGTTTCAAATCCTAGACAGTGGAGTTATAAGGAAGATAATCCCTCGTCAACCCCTTTGAGTCAAAGAAGTTGGAGTTTTTCTTATCACACAAATTAAAACCCTTAATCACAATCTGGGGCAGGGTAGTTTCTCAGTTAATTCGGGTGCACAATGAATGGCATCAAAGAGGTCCTTCCAAAATAAAAGATGGTGACGGTTCCTTATAATCGTCAGGACAGGCAGTCATTATCTCTCAGAAATAAAAGCCCATTAAGTCAAAACCTATGAAGGAGACTTACAAAACTGGGGCATCCCGCTGACTATAATCACAAAAGAAACAGTTCAGGCAAAAGACAGGGATAATAAAATCAAAAAGAAAGAGATCCTACAAACTCTCAACAAAAATGACTGTCTGTTCAAAATAAACTGTCAGTATCCGAACCATCACTGGAATATCAGAGCAAAGACTTAAACAGGATCGAAGAACATCACGAAGAATGGGTGGGTATAAATAAAATTTGAGCTTTTATCCTTTGTTTCTTGAATCGTGAACCAGGACACGTTATAACCCTTAAAAGTCCTAGCTGAAGCATGGGTTAGTTCGAAAGCATACTGTTACAAAAGGTATCCTGACTCCTGTAGGACTTGCTGTAAATCCTGAGTTGACATCACATTTTACAAAAAAAAATTGTCTTACTGAAAAATGCATTTTCAAAAATTTCAAGACAGACATAAGCTTTGCATTCTTAAAATAACATTGTTTGCATATGACTATTTGTTCAACAGTAGAGAAATTTGCACGACGAATATCTAGTTAACAAAAACCTTTTCAATAAAAAGGGTCACCTCAAGTGGAAAAAACACTTCCAACCAAGGGGCACGGCATGAGCATTTTCTATCATCTGGGGCAGTCAAGTCAAGATTCAAGGAGTCTCTCAAAGATGCCAAATAGCCAGGGGCAGATCTCCATCTGAATCACTTGGGGCATTGGACATAAATTCCAGCAACGAATCTTGTATGATCAAACGAACATCTTCTGGTAGTATGGCAACACAACACTACCGACAATGACAACTCCCTACACCCTGAGAGCGTGGACATAGTCAGAAAATACTGCGCATGAACAAAGACCCGCTAGTTTGACAGGCCTAGGCAAAAATAAGGGCATCCCGACAAACCAAAAGGGTTCGGGCAAAAATTAGGGATAAAAACAAAAAAAAGATTTGTACACCCGGCAAGTCGAAAACCTGAAAAGGCGGCTTGGGCAAGGAAAGGTATCCCGTTGGACTGAAAATCTGAAAAGACAGTCCAGGCAAAAGTTAGGGATTAAAGCGTACGACTATGTCCCGTCATCTCGTCACTTTCCTACCAGAAGAAGATTTGTCATTTCAATCGGCAATTACCAAGCACCTCATAGGTTGGAATAATACTCGATCCACAAGGCCTCCGCAGGCACCT